ATTTATTTGTACTCATTTAAAATAATGTTAAAATAGTATTTGATTTTTTTTATGTTGTATTATTGTTTTTTTATCAAAAGTTGAAACCAATGTAGTGTGCCTAAATGTTTATTTACTGTATCTCAAGCCAATAGATAGAATAGGACAAAGAGGTGTTTTTGGTGTTTTACCAATGAGAATAACATGGGGAGATTTTAAGCCACTTTTTAAAAATCGTGCTTACTCTCTATACATTTCTATACAAATGTCCAACTCCAAAAATATTTCCAATCCCCATTAATCTTTGTATCATGTGAGATTTGCACCAGTTGGTTTGAAGGTATTTATAAATATAACATGTTGCTGGAATCACCTTAAACGGCAAGAAACACGTAGTCTTGGGACCTCTGGTAAAATATTGGATTTTTCCTAGTAGGCCTATTTGTTTATTTACATTCTTCCAATAGCTCCATAAGCTTAACATTGGAAATTTACAGACCAGTAGGGCTAAGCCCTAAGGCTAAATACATAACTGAAGATGCCTATATGTTAATCGAGACCAAGACGAATCCAACGAATCAAAAATCATTAAAATCGGGCTAGACGTTCTTGAGTTATAAGTGGTGTAACTAACACGACTTTGTTTTATATAGACTACTAGAGTACTTACACGTTCTTCGTATGGGATTGGCGTATAAGTATAAAATCCTTATTGCAGTTATAGCTTTGCGTTTGCAATGGGGGAGGATAAGGCTTGAGAGAATTTGGTTCTTTATATTTACGGTATGCTATAGTATTACAGATATAGTATAGTATATACAGTATAGTATTACGCATCTACAGTACCACAACCATTCTGTTCTACCACTGCACCTAAACAATATAAAAAAGTAAATTACCAAACATTCACACAATATCACAAATTATGTATCTATCTATTACTTATTTAATACGCAAGCAGGTTTTTTGTGACAATTACTCCTCCGAAACTACTGAACCGATTGACATGTTTTTGGTGTCATTGGAAAGAGCATAACGTGAAGTTGTGCAGGAAACTTTCTTTTTAGGGAAATAATTAGAGAGTGAGGCCCTGGCGTCCTTTAAAGTTTCGTATTTATCCATAAGGATAACATAGGAGATAATTTTTATTTACAGAAACATATGTTTGTTACTTGAAAATAGTCAAAGTCTACTACATAATAATTGCTGTGTATTATGACTGTTAATGTATACTACATTTCAATCAAGGAGTGTATACCTTAAAGTTTACTCATAATGGATCTTTACTACTTATTTTAATTCCGGGAATAGTAAATTTAGTTGAGATTAAGTTACCACGATTTAGAAAACTTTACTATAATAATTTATGTATTTAAAATCACAAATCTTTGACATTATTAATTCATTTGAAACAAAACAGCTGATCGACAAATCAAACAAATCATCTACTTCATGTGAATAATGCTGTTACACAAAAATAGGTTACACAACCAATAACTTGATTCTTTTTACTTGTGGGTGAATTTTGAGTTTTCAGTTATGAAAGCACCAAGCCAAGTAACTTAAGCACTTTAATTAAAGATCAGCACTATTCTTACCCAGACCGATTTCAGTCATGAACAACTATATTATATGTTGTTTTAAGTAAGGCTACATCTTTTAATAGCTTACACATATATTCATTATGGGACATTTTGACGAGGGTAATCTTCCTGAAGGTAACTTCAAGACTAAAATCGTAGTATTCATGGAAGTGCTGTTGTGGTTAAAATATTGTTTTTAGTGTTTATTTTTAAAAGTGTTTTCTTCAAGCAGCATTTTTATGACCCTCAAAATACGCTACACAGGCCTATTGACTTGATATGATAAAAAGTTTTGTTAAATGTGTTTAAAAAAATCTTGAAAAACAACAGCTCTATAACATACTTGAACACTTATTAATTTACTAAATAAAATACACATACAGCTAGAACTGCTGAAATGGCTGGACTGTTTCTCTTCTAAGGATTTATTATTACTGTATTTATTAAATTTTTACGTTGAGCCAATATATAACACGATGAATTTGTTTTCTTAATTCATATGTAATTTTGCGGGGCATTGAGCCGCACAGGTTCACTAGTACTTATTTAATACGCAAGCACGATTTTTGTGACAATTACTCCTCCGAAACTACTGAACCGATTGACATGTTTTTGGTGTCATTGGAAAGAGCGTAACGTGAAGTTGTGCAGGAAACTTTCTTTTTAGGTAAATAATTAGAGAGTGAGGCCCTCGGGCCCTTTAAAGTTTTGTATTTCTCCATAAGGATAACAAGGGAGATAATTTTTATTTACAGAAACATATGTTTGTTACTTGAAAATAGTCAAAGTCTACTACATAATAATTGCTGTGTATTATGACTGTTAATGTATACTACATTTCAATCAAGGATTGTGTGCCTTAAACTTTACTCATAATGGATCTCACTACTTTATTTTCCTGTTGGGAATAGTAAAATTTAGTTGAGAATAAGTTACAATATTTAGAAAACTTTACTATAATAATTGATGTACAGTATTTAAAATCACAAATCTTTGACATTATTAATTCATTAGAAACGAAACAGCTGATCGAGAAATCAAACAAATCATCTACTTCATGTGAATAATGTTTTTACACAAACATTGTTTTTTTTTACCAATAACTTGATTCATTTTTTTACTTCTGGGTGTTTTTTGAGTTTGCAGTTATGAAAGCACCAAAGCCAAGTACCTTTAATCTAATTTTCTTTATAAACTAACAGTATTAATGAATTACTACATGAACTTTACAAGTTAGGTAATTAACTGTCAGTATGGCAAGGGGAAGAGTGGGTCCTCGAAAACAGTCGAAGGCAGAGGCACCCATCTAAAAAATCCAACTGAGTTTTTAAATATAGAGGTCAGTGAATTGCCAAGACACAGATTATACTAATAAAAGGAGGCAGTGGTTTTATTGATATTAATACATCAAAAAGGGCCTCATTAATGGCACAAGGTTTCATGTGATCAGAACGGTTAACAACAATGTAAAGTAGAATGTTAAGTCTTTTAAAATGGAAAGATGCTAATTTCTGTTATCTTTGGCATTTGCAGCACAAGCACTTTAATTAAAGAGCAGCAATGTTCTTAGCCAGACCAATTTCAGTCATGAGCAACTGTATACTGTATATGTTGTTTTAAGTAAGGCTACATCTTTTAATAGTAGGATAAGCATATTCATTACGGAAAATTCTGACCAGGGTAATATTCCTGAAGGTGACTTTAAGACTAAAATCGTAGTATTTATGGAAGTGCTTTTGTGAAAAAAATATTGTTAAAAGTGTTTTCTTCAAGCAGCATTTTATGACCCTCAAAATATGCTACATAGGTATATGCTACATTCACTGCCTATTGGTTTGATATGATAAAATGTTTTGTTATATGTGTTTTCAAATCTCTTAAAAAAATAACTACCCTGTAACACACTTGAACTTGAACACTTATTAATTTACTAAATATAATAGGCATACAGCTAGAAAATGGCTAGATTGCTTCCCTTCTAATGCTTTATTATTACTATATTTAATTTTCGACGAGTCAATATATAACACGATGAATTTGTTTTCTAAATTCATAATATGTTTTTGCGGGGCATTGAGCCGCAGAGGTTCACTAGTTAAATTAAAAACATAAACATTACTGTAAACAATCCTACTTTGACAGTTTACATTGTGTAACACAGCTTTTTGACGCTGCTTACTTTAAATTAGCTGATATCATAATTGCAAAAAATATAATAGTGCTGCACCCTGTTGGTAAACCTTATAACTTTTTAATGCTATTGAATATCATAGAACCAACTTGTTTGGTCGAATCAGCTGACAAAATTATTTAATCCCTTTTAAATGCGCATACCCATAAGGTTAACATGGGAACCCCCAAAGCCACTGGTGCGGAGCCTGAAAGGAGTTTTGAGATAACAATATACCTATTATGTTAATCGGGAATGTGAGCTATCATCACCCCAAATTTCAACCCAATCCGACCAGTATTATTCGCGTTTACTTGTCACAAACATGCATCCATCCAGACTTTCTCATTTATAATATTAGTAGGATTATATATATATAGGTAATAAGTTAATTATTGTTATTTGTTTGTTTTATCAAAAATGGTTTGTGTGTTGTCAAAAATTGTTGCCATGGTTGTTTTATTATAAAATCTCGAGGTATACAGCGACGGTATAGAATTGCTACAGCTTATATTTGTAGTATAATTATTTTCACTGTTTCCCAACAAGCACGTGTGTATGTAACTATTTAAAAGTCGACTTTGCCACTGAGATGTATCGCCCAGACCCTGATGCAATTGGAATATTCTGAGAACTAATTGAGATATACAATATGTAACTGCTTGATCAGCATTGCACGTGTTATTACATTTACGGAAAGTAAATTAAAGAAACGTATTATAGCACTTAAAACATATATTTGCTCTTATACTGTTAACAGTATAACAGTATAAGCGTAAATATATGTTTTAAGTGGTTTAAGACGTTTCTTTTATTTACTTTCCGTATGTACAATTGTTTAGTAAACTTCCTTTATATTTTCATGTTATCTATATTTCATAATCTTTGGCTCAATTATTTTCTTAAATATTTTGCTTTCAAACATATGTTCTTGAAATTAAATTATTTCCCTATTATTAAATTGGTAACACATGTTGTGTATCAAAAAGTAAATAAAAACAGTGCTTGTTCTCCTATCCCAAAAGTGTGTTCATTTTTTTTCTCCTCTTATAATCTCCATTTAATTTCATTCTCTACAAAACATTCATTGGTCCTAATCGAGCCTGGATTTTGAATTTCAGTCTTTGGATTCAATTTTCAGAACACTTTCAAGCTATCGAAATATCTTTATTTTATCATTCAATCTCTTTATGTTTCTCCCCACTCTCATAGTGTCACAAACTCTATCTAATTCTTAGTAAAGTTTCACTCCATTTGTTTTGTCCAATATGGCTACCAGATCAATTTCACTCTCAAACTTCAACAAATCAACCCTTCTCATACAAAATTCTTTTGAAAAGATTCTCAAATCTGTACAAGAGCTTGAAACACTTTCCCCCTCAATCTTGTCAGTGATACAAATCAGAACTTTAAACAACTTCTCGAACCAGTTAGAAAAGAAACATGAAGCCTATGAAAATTACCTGGAAAGAGCCTTGGAACATATATCAGAAGAATTAGATTTGGATGCAGTAAGTGACACTGAAGACAAACTGCGACTGCTATTCGTCGAAGCCAAGTCTCGGATTGAAGCCCTTCTCCAACAGCAGCCGCAAGATGTTCCAGAAGAAAGTAAAGATTCAACAAGAATTAGTGACTTCTCAGCTTCATCATCTGCTCACGTAAGACTCCCAAAACTAGACCTCATCACGTTTGATGGTTCTCCTCTACAGTGGGTAAGTTTCATCAACTTATTTGACACTAGCATCCATCTGAATGAAAGCATTTCAAACGTCACTAAATTTCAATATCTTCTCAGCGTGCTCAAAAATGAACCACTAAATCTCATAAAATCGTTCAATATCACTTCAGCCAATTACTCAATTGCCTATCAGCTCCTCAGAGACAGATACCATAACACCCGAAGGTTAACTACACTTCACCTCAACAAACTGATCGACCTACCGGACATTTCCTCCACCTCAAACAAATGTCTCAGAACGTTCCTCAACTTGTTCTATGAACACACAGAAGCACTTAAAGCTCTTGACTGTGACATTACTTCTAACTCTAACCCTCTTTTGTCCACCATACTCTTGCGAAAACTAGATAATGACCTTCTCAAACAACTAGAGGCTTTTAGAATTAATCTAAAATGCGAAACACATTCTCTACCAGAAGTAGTCGAAATAATCAAGTTTCTTAATCAAGAGTGTAACCAAATTGAAGATGCTCAGTTACATACTTGGTCTGTTCCAATTGAGGACAACCACACATCAAAATTCGAACAGAAACCTATCACTTATAATCCCATTTCATTTCACGAACAGCAAGTTTCAATGATCTCTACCTCAACTCTATCAAGTCAACAGAACTCAACAAATGTGTTCTCCTTCCCCTGCTTTGCTTGCTCATCCACAAGCCATAAGGTTTATGTATGTCCTATCTTCCTCTCTCTTTCTCCGAAAGAACGTTTTACAACTGCAAAAGAAAACAACAGATGTGTCTCGTGCCTTGGAAAACATAGTTTCCAAGCATGTAAGTCAAAAGCGTCTTGCTTCAAATGTCACAAACGTCATCACACCCTTCTTCACCTCGAACACGTCAAGACGCCTCAAGATTCTACATTGTCTCAACCTTCATCCACTCATATCCCGAATGACACACCTCCCGTATCTCTTTGCTCAGAGAAAACGCGTCTTACCTCTACTCAGCCTACCAACAACCCATCTCAACTCAACAGCTCTACCACAACAGCTGACTCCTCACTACGCAAGATTATTGATACCTCTCTGTATTCTCAAGACTCAAAACAAAACATTCAGCGATTCTCTTCACTACATGACTTCAAGTGGTATCCTCACAGGACCTGCCCACAAAGTGTCCCCTCTACCAATTGTAGATTTATGAACTGTTTTCATTGAATCCCTGGGGATTCAAGGCCCCCGGTATGTTCAGTAAACTTCCTTTATATTTTCATGTTATCTATATTTCATAATCTTTGGCTCAATTATTTTCTTAAATATTTTGCTTTCAAACATATGTTCTTGAAATTAAATTATTTCCCTATTATTAAATTGGTAACACATGTTGTGTATCAAAAAGTAAATAAAAACAGTGCTTGTTCTCCTATCCCAAAAGTGTGTTCATTTTTTTTTCTCCTCTTATAATCTCCATTTAATTTCATTCTCTACAAAACATTCAACAATTTGTAACTTGTTTGACGGATTTTTGGCTGTTTTATTTGATTCTATAACCAAATCATATCGCAACATCAATTGCAATAATGCCAAGCTGTAAGTAAGTTATGGGTAGTTACTAGTTTTGTGGTGTTTCCACCTGAATCCTGACCCTGGCTACCTGTTTACCGTAGCCGTGAACACCGCCCAAAATAGCCACCCTTGGGCGCTGGCGTCACTCTTTGGCATTGACATTGAAATGCAAAAATACACTTACCCCCCCCCCTCCACCCTACTTGCTCGGCCGCAATTACATTCCGGCAATACTCTACTTTAGTGATGACAGATACGAGTAACAATATTTCTGGGTTTCTATTCTAACTAGGTTTTGCGTGATGAGATGATAGGCTTTACACAGTACAGTACAGCTGGTATTCCTTGCTCGCTAAGTACAGCACAGTAGTTGTTGCAAGAGTATGCCCTACCAGTACAGTACACCTGGTATTCCTTGCTCGCTGAGTACAGCACAGTAGTTGTTGCAAGAGTATGCCCTACCAGTACAGTACAGCTGGTATTCCTTGCTCGCTGAGTACAGCACAGTAGTTGTTGCAAGAGTATGCCCTACCAGTACAGTACAGCTGGTATTCCTTGCTCGCTGAGTAGGCCTACAGCACAGTAGTTGTTGCAAGAGTAGGCCCTACCGGTACAGCTAGAGCTGGCATTCCTTGCTCGCTGAGTAGGCCTACAGCACAGTAGTTGTTGCAAGAGTATGCCCTACCAGTACAGTACAGCTGGCATTCCTTGCTCGCTGAGTACAGCACAGTAGTTGTTGCAAGAGTAGGCCCTACCGGTACAGCTACAGCTGGCATTCCTTGCTCGCTGAGTAGGCCTACAGCACAGTAGTTGTTGCAAGAGTAGGCCCTACCAGTACAGCTACAGCTGGTATTCCTTGCTCGCTGAGTAGGCCTACAGCACAGTAGTTGTTGCAAGAGTATGCCCTACCGGTACAGCTACAGCTGGTATTCCTTACTCGCTGAGTACAGTACAGCACAGTAGTTGTTGCAAGAGTAGGCCCTACCGGTACAGCTACAGCTGGCATTCCTTGCTCGCTGAGTAGGCCTACAGCACAGTAGTTGTTGCAAGAGTATGCCCTACCAGTACAGTACAGCTGGTATTCCTTGCTCGCTGAGTACAGCACAGTAGTTGTTGCAAGAGTATGCCCTACCAGTACAGTACAGCTGGTATTCCTTGCTCGCTGAGTACAGTACAGCACAGTAGTTGTTGCAAGAGTAGGCCCTACCGGTACAGCTACAGCTGGTATTCCTTGCTCGCTGAGCAGGCCTACAGCACAGTAGTTGTTGCAAGAGTAGGCCCTACCGGTACAGCTACAGCTGGTATTCCTTGCTCGCTGAGTAGGCCTACAGCACAGTAGTTGTTGCAAGAGTAGGCCCTACCAGTACAGCTACAGCTGGCATTCCTTGCTCGCTGAGTAGGCCTACAGCACAGTAGTTGTTGCAAGAGTATGCCCTACCAGTACAGTACAGCTGGTATTCCTTGCTCGCTGAGTACAGTACAGCACAGTAGTTGTTGCAAGAGTAGGCCCTACCGGTACAGCTACAGCTGGCATTCCTTGCTCGTTGAGTAGGCCTACAGCACAGTAGTTGTTGCAAGAGTATGCCCTACCAGTACAGCTACAGCTGGTATTCCTTGCTCGCTGAGTAGGCCTACAGCACAGTAGTTGTTGCAAGAGTAGGCCCTACCGGTACAGCTACAGCTGGTATTCCTTGCTCGCTGAGTAGGCCTACAGCACAGTAGTTGTTGCAAGAGTAGGCCCTACCAGTACAGCTACAGCTGGCATTCCTTGCTCGCTGAGTAGGCCTACAGCACAGTAGTTGTTGCAAGAGTAGGCCCTACCGGTACAGCTACAGCTGGTATTCCTTGCTCGCTGAGTAGGCCTACAGCACAGTAGTTGTTGCAAGAGTAGGCCCTACCAGTACAGCTACAGCTGGCATTCCTTGCTCGCTGAGTAGGCCTATAGCACAGTAGTTGTTGCAAGAGTAGGCCCTACCAGTGTTCTTCTTTTAGATACTCCTTCTCTCACCATCCTTTCAATTTATTTATCCAACAATATGCAATATTGATGGACATATTTCTAGGATAGGTTTAATCACAAAAAGTTGATAATTGTGTATAAAAAAAAACAATAAACTACTTAGAATGACATCAGCATACGTAAGCGAAGGAATAATATTTTTTATTGTATCATCAATTTGCACTAAGTATACTTTAAAACAGAGGTCAAATGGCTTGAGATGGAACAAAAAGAGGTATAAAGTACTCGTTGTTATTTAGAACCACCTCAGAAACTGGAGAAAGAGGAATTGAGACGGACGAGGGAATTTGTATTGTTTCAGAACGACTGCTGTCACTAGAAGAACTTCATGTCACCTGGGAATTGGAGCAGACGTTTTGATATTGGACCTAATATCATATCGAACCCCAATTCAAATTGTTTACACTGTAATGACTGCGTTCTATTTAGTTTTAACTTAGGTTGTTTTGAATTAATATACTCACCTCGCATTACAACTTGACTACTGAATTGATATTTTGAAAATCACTAACGATGTTTTCTCAAGTACTGTAACACTCAGTTGAGTTTTAAGTTCCATTTTTAATATAAATGCTCACATATATTTTTCCTATAGCTACCTATTCCTTGCACTGATTACATTACGCCAAGAAGCTAATTGCTTCATTTGCTTACTTTAGCCGCACTCCTTTTACTTTTGCCACTCCATTTTTTTTTTTGCCGCACTCCAGAATTACAACCAAACAACCAAAAACTGTGTGCTTTTCTTATGCACGTAATATGTGTACGCTTGAAAATAAGCAACCCTTAAAGATACTACGACTACGATCAGCTGGTGCAGCGTTTCATATTTCGTTTAACGCTTGGACTTAACATAACCTAAAAGCATGTTGTATAGTGTTTGAAAGATCAATTATTTATACGCTTTATAGTAACTGTAGGAGAAATATAATGTGTAACGTGAGTGCAAAGTGTCACTTCGCACACTAGTTACAAATAACTTTTATGTGCCATTATAGTTTGTTATGCATCATGATTTACATTGAATCACAAAATTCTCTTATCTGACCATTACAATTTTAGCTAAATCAAAATGATCATATTACGCTTTATCTGATATTGCAACATTTGTAAAGAGACAAATCTAGCCATCTTTTTACGCTCCAATGTAAGTTTTTATTATTACGTTGTGTATTTTCCAACCGGTCAGTTACTTCTCAGCCTTTATTATTTTTCAACACTTTGAATTAAAAAGTTACGTGAGATAATTCCTAAAATTACGATGTTTGAATTTGGTTATTTTTACGCAATGTTTATTATAACCAATCGGCGTCACTTAAAAGCTGAAACTTGAATTGAATTGAAATGTTTGTAAATGGCTTTCGATTTGTTGAGGACCCTTCTTGAAGTTATTTTAACGAAGGTCAGGAAGGAGCTTGTGGACATAACAATTATTATTTTGTCCTCGAATCGTTTACTTTTTTGAGCTTTGTTTTAAACTGCAATATGCTAAATTCATTATACCTATACACATGATGTTTAAAGTTTAGAAAAGAACATTCACATTATAGAAGTACAGTATTTCCTTTTGTCATCCAATATCATATTTGTGAATTCGTATATATTTGTATTGAAGAATACTATTTTAGTTTTCTGTTTAACAAAGAGACCGAGCTAATTTGTGGCAAAGGTGATTATGTAAACTAGTTGAGGGAAGGGTAGGGGAATAGAGAACAGGTGGAAGGGGAGTGTAGGGGTATCCAAAATAGCCCCGAGCGGCCCCAAGGTCCCCGCGCGCCCTTGAACTTGAGCCCAAGCGCGAGGTCACCCGACCCTTCCCCCCACAAATTTACATTCGGTCACTTAGCATGTCATGCCTCGTGCCGCCATTTCCAACTGGATCAATTTCCCTTAACCTCACTTTCATAACGAAAACCACTTTCCATTTCATTGTTCAGTTATCTTGATACAATATTTCTTTCCCGACCAAATGAATAGGTTTTATAATCATTAAAAGAGAGGGTTTCATTACAACATGTGTTTTTGAGTTGGTTGTATTAAGTTAACTTATTTGTGTCTTTAATATTAAAGTACCTGGGGACCGAGCTTTGCTCGGAGAAAATCATTAGTTCACTCTGAAAGCAGTCTTAGTATCGGAGATACATAAATCTGTTCCCAAACTCCACACGGCTCGCCTTTACAACGTCCTACACCATTTCCTACGTCATGGACCTGTTTCCCTCCATTCCCATAGCACTTTAAGATTGTATATACCTTAATCTAATCGTTATTAACAGTTCCCACACTCCGGACAGCTCGCCTTGACTACTTCCTTCACCACTTCCAACGTAGCGGACCTGTTTTTCTCCCTTCCCATAGCATTTCAGAATTGCAGATACGTTAATCTAATCGTCATAGACAGTTCCCACACTCCATACTAATCGCCTTTACTACTTCCTTCACCACTTCCTACGTCGCAAACATGTTTCCCTCCCTTCCCATTGCATTTAAAGATTGCAGATACATTAATCTAATCGTCATAAACAGTTCCCACACTCCGGACAGCTCGCCTTGACTACTTCCTTCACCACATCCTACGTCGCGGACCTGTTTCCCTCCCTTCCCATTGCATTTAAAGATTGCAGATACCTTA